TGCCTATTTCTCGTTGTTCGCTTTGTGTTGCCGCAGTATTCGCCACAATACCAATACCTGAGAAGGAGCAGAAGCAAGTCGAGCAGCAGCAAACACTCAACGGCAAACAATTCGAGTGGGGCCCAGCTGTTTTTGAATTGGCGACATATAAGTGATATCAAAGGAAGCCTTTGGAAGCTTTGTTCGCCTCAATCGATAGCTGGATGGCCAGACAAATATTGGCAATTGGTACAAGCATTGTAAATTTGTTATGTTGCAATGTGAACGGCAATAATTTATTTAATTTATTCAATTTATTGTTATTGAAATTTTAATGCAATCACATTTGGCAAAAGCTATTTTATCACAATATATATGTACATATATTAAAAATTTTAAGCAAAATATAATAAGCATCGAATCGAAATGTAAAACTCCATGCACTAAAAATTTAAAAAATTTCAAATAAAATTTAAATAGTCATTATTTTCATAAACCGCAGTTAATTCATTTTCTGTTCTTGTTGTTATTGTTGTTGTTGTTGTTGTAGCTGCTGTGGGCCTCAAAATTCGTTTTTACCATTTCTACCAGGCGCGCATAACCGTCCAGCAAGCAGCCCAACAAGTTTTTTCTCCACCCGGAAACGCAATGATGTTGCATGAATCTAGGCTGATGCGTCGGTATAGTGCGCAGGTACTACCGGCAACTTTAAAAGTGTCACCCTATACGCTAGTTGTTTTGAAGCGAAAAGGTAGCCCTGTGTTATTTTCAAATGCCGGAAACCTAAAAGCACTGCATACATCGAGATTGTCCCGAAATCGAAAATTTCATATCCCACCCTCGTCGACTAGTGCCGAAATATGTGCATTTTGTACTGAATTTGCCCTATTTCTACTAGGCGGGCATAGCTGCACAGAAGGTCGACCGAGCAAATTTTTTTTTTCAATTTCCGGCATGCAGCGGAAGTGCATACATCAAGGCTGTTGTGAAGGTGCAGGGCGTCGCATAACCAAAAATGTGAGCATAGGGTGTCTCACAGACCATTTTTACGGCGCCCACAGTTTCCCGTACCTGCAATGCCGATTTCTAGTAGGCCCGCAGAAATGCAGGATAGGTGGGCGCCGCAACAATGTTGCAAGTCGCATGTTGCCGATGAGATGCATGATGCAACATTGTTACTAGCACAAATGAGAATTTATGATTTGTTTTTTTTTTAAATTTTTTTGCACACATAAAATTTTTATTTGTTGATGTTATATTTTAAAGTACTTACCATCATCATTTAACCCAAATACGTTTCTTCATGTTTTACATGTTTCAAAGAATACATTTTATTACATACATACACATAATTATTGTAAATGTATACACATATTATAGTAAACAACTAATACATAGATCTCAAGTATTTTTCCATGAAGATTCCTTATATTGCTTATATTTTTATGCAACGATTTTATTTCCACATTATGTATTACTACGTTTATACTCACGCATTATTTGCAAATAACAATTTGCAAAATGGTAAACTTTGCGTATAAATGCTGAGTTAATTTTTTATTTGCAAATAACTAAATCACGCAAATAAGTATTGATTAGTGGTACTATTTGCAAATAAGCGCAAGACGCTGCCATTCTTAGGTTAATTTTCTTTTTCGATGGTCATCTTGTTGCCTTTTTATAATCAAGACGTTGCCATTTTTTTTTAACTTTATTTTCCTTTTCGATGGTCATATTATTGCCTTTTGATAATCAGGTAATATTAAAGAAGAATTTTTCATAATCGAATAAACAGTGAGTTAGATATTCGCAAATTATTTTTATTTGCAAATAACTTACGTATAAACGTAGTATATAAATAAGTACGGTGACTATTCCGGACAGTACCGCTTTTAAGAAAAATGTCCCGCTGAATAATTTTTAAAAGTCGGGACGTATTAGTGTCCCGGTTTTTCATATTTGTACCGATTAAGTCCCGATTTTCAGTGTTTTTTTTTATTAATTTGATATGAGGCTCCCTGTACTCTGGCACAAAAATAATTTTTCGTACAAAGGCGGCAGAGCGCTTATCACATAGAACATATAATATATAAGGGAGCCACATGGTACAATGATTACAGGTATTCATGGGCGTAGCCAGGTAGAGGCAGGGGGTTCTCGAGACGCCCCCCCGCCCCCCCCCCCCCCCCTAACTTTCAAATTTTCCTTATATGTATATATATAAAATAGTACCCTGAAATGCCAGCTAAATAGGGTCGAGCCCCCCTAAATTTCATTCTGGCTACGCCGATGCAGGTATTGTCTTCCCAGAGAGTGCATATTCCGATCTGCCTTATTTGAAAAACATCATTGTTGCCCAAACTTAAAGGGTTACTGCAATTACCTGTATAATTACTTGTTCAGTTTTTTTTTTTGTTTTTTAATGAAACGCTTCGAACTTGAATTTAGTGAAATTAAAGGAAAAGACTAATTCCTTCAGAAAAATCATAGATATGAAAAATATAAATTGTAGATACATTGGCGAATATATAAATTGAGAAGACATTTTATCAAAATTGTGAGCTCTTTAATTAGATATCTCAGAAACATTCCGAGTATGCAGTTTTGTAGCCCATCCAATTCAAAGTGCAAATTTTAAGTACCTTGGACTGGCCGTATATTTTTGGTAATTTTTTTTTTGTGGAAGATGTTGTTAATTGCAACGGAAGTGCATGCATGCAGGCTGTTGCGAAGGTGCAGGGTGTCGCATAACCAAAAATGTCAGCACAGGGTGTCTCGCATACAATTTCTATGGCGAATTCCGTCAGACGCTTCCTAATTGTATTTTATTTCTTTTGAACCATGAAAAAGTATCTGTGAAGTACAGAAGGAAAGCGTATTGAACGAAAAATTCAATCAGACAAATTTCAGAGAAAACAGCCGAAAACGTATCTGTTTCACATGCGGTTGTCTGTACATACGTTTCTGCCGCAAACTTTAGTGGGAAAACGGATCGTCAAAGTATCCGGAAATGGAATCAGTAAACGGACAAAAGACCGCACTTCGCCCACTTTTTTGTCAGTTTTTGGATCGGTTTTCGGATTTGGTACCCAGCCAGCAGAGAAACGTAAATTTTTGCGACAGTGCAGTCTAGTACATTTTGCCGTATCCGGAAACGAATAGAAAACGACTACAATTTTCATTCATTTATGTATCCAAGAGAATATGTAAAGATTTCTTACAGTATTGGAAGTCAGGTGGCTTTTTTTGGCGATGCATTAGGTAATTCAATAACTAAGATTCATTTGCAATCCAAGAATCCATTACCTATGATTACTTTATTTTAACTTAGGAGCCCTTGATATAAAAAAACAGTATTGAGGAAGGTCTGGCGCTATGCCATAAAAGCAGAGCTTCTGAAGTAAGTATTTGTGGCATAACAACAATTAACAATATTATTTTTGGTAATTAAATCCGCAAGTAAATGCCGCCAAGCATTGAATCTCATACCTTTCTTTAGTAACATTACTTACATGCGCTTTTCCGATGTAGCACCTTTGTTTTATGTTAGCCATTTTGGACCTGAAAATGCAAAGAAAAACATATTAGTGTTATTTAGGTACCCCTTATATACTTGCTAAAATCGCTTTACCTATCTAAAAATTTGGCATATTTTCCGACGATTGGGTAAACGACGACTCTAGATCGTATGCTCGCTCTACTGTACCATCAATACAGACATCGACAGCACTCCCATTCTCCAAATCTTCAGTATTTACACCAAAAGACGTATGTATGTAGTTGACCAGCTACTTAATGTTCCTGCGGTGGGGTCTGGTGACTATTTCACGCCCCAACTTTACTACTGGCGTCAGTGGTATTACCGCCTACTCGACTGGCCACTGCACAAAAGCGCGCTCGCCAGTCACAGACGGCACCTGGCGGCACTCCCGAGTGGCTGAGGCTTCGAGCTTTGAGGTGACTACGCTGTACAGGAACGGTTGTTCTGCCCCATTACCTATTCCAGTGCGTAGTCTTGTATATGATTTCGTATATGTAAAGTGATTGGTGTGTAAACAAATGAGTAAAATATAAAATTCTGTTAAAAAACAAAACAAATAAAATAGAAACTATTCTTATTTTAAATATATCAAAACTCGCAATGAATTCCTATGTGAAATGTAAATATGCACATACATATAACTATAGTGACTCAAACAAGTGAGCACGTGTTGAGTTTTTTTTTTAATATTCGTTATGTTTATCTTGCTAATTTTTGTGTGTTAATTTTCTATAAAAATGCCATACAAGCTTTAACAAAAACCATTTAAATCGCAATTTTAAACTTTATACAAAACTTATGAGAATTCAACAAATTTGCATCAACTTTTTAATCTGAATCTTTAGAATATTTTTGGTGTGTAGTTTTATAGCCTTTACAATTTTTGTCTAAAGAAAACCGGCTAAAAAATAGCGTTGATTTTTTACATTTTTTTTTTGGAATCTGCTTTTGACGAAAATTTGTTGAATTTTCTTATTTTTTTATGAAGTTTGAAACTGTGATTAACTATATGGTATTTTGGACAATATTTTTTATAGAAAAATAACAACAAAAAAATTTAATCAAAAAACATTTTGAATATTACAGAAAAAAAATAACACGTGGTCACTTGTTTGAGTCACTGTTTCTATTTATACTGGTATATAGAAGTGTGAAATGTATGTGGGTGTGTATTTATATAAGAAAACAAGCCAAATTCATACCATCAAAGAAACCATTAAAGAAAGGAAGTAAATACAGAGTAAGAATTTTTCAATTTTACGCCAAAATAAGTTTTGACACGTCAATAAATTCGAGGCGCCAGCAAACATGCAAATGCAGTTGTAGTATGTCGGTGTTTGCATGCTAAAACGCGCCAAGAGAGATTAATGAGGTGAACGCTGAGCACAGCTGCCACTGCAATGATGGCAAAACAAATATGCCAATCTACACAACAGTAACTACATATTTGCTAATGACAAAATGCTGCGGAAACGAAAAACGTTGCATGCATAATAAGTAAGGATTTAAAGGAATCCTTAGGATCCAATGTTGTACAGAATTTAAAATAGTTGCCGCTTTTCTTAAATACATACAAAAGTATATTACCATGAGGTGAACAATTTAATTATAATTTTTTTTTTTTATATAAAAATT